CTCCTAGCAGAACCAATTCTACTTGAAAGGTTTTGCTGTTTTCCTCTATGTCTTACATATATCTATATACCACACTACATGGAGGAGAATAGGATTTCTGATATTTCTGCTGAGATGTTGGGAAGAGATTGTTTTATGCATCTGTCCATGTTGAGACACATTTCCAAGATCTTAATTTTTAAGAGATTTTATATCTTTTAATCTGGACTCCTTCTAGACTCAAAACCTCCAACAAATGCCCAATATCTCCAATTAAATATATTTCAAAAGGCCTGCTTCACAATAACACTCCAGTTTATATGGTCCTTTGCACCAATACAAAAGGGGTATAAATCATTACCACTGTAACTGGGTAGCATTTTATACCCACTTTGCATTGGCATCAATATCTCCACAAATGCAGAACAATATTAAGTTGGGCCCAAAGTTTCTGTAAGCACCCCACTCTTTGGCAGTTTGTGAGTTCTTTCGGGATTAAAGTTTTATTGATCTTTTAGGTTTTTACAGGTATGGAACTAAATAGAAGACTCCCAATAAAATGAAAGGAGAAAGAGGAGAGGGAAAAATTAGATTGTCTAACTTGAACTGAAAGCACTTTGGGTCAGAGTCATGTTTGTGAAGGACCATAAACATGATGCTGCTATATGAATAAATGTTAATAAACAAAGACATTATTAAAATAAAATAATAGCCCTGGGGTACTGGTGGAGGATAGGGAAGAAATAACAGTCATGCAACATTGAACAATAGTATGCAATATGCTGTGTGGTACTTATACGTATAATAAAATATTAAGATGGCAAATATGGGAAGGCAAGCATTTAGAAATGGCAAAGACCTATTAGTTTATGTCAGCCAAGAAGAATGTAATGGAGGATCTTAGTAAGAGTGCAGAACTGCCAGCCAATACCTACAATCACAGTTCTCATGATCTTTTGACCTCACTGTGTATGACTGGATGTATTAATAACCTCTAGATACTGTCACTTAATTTCTAATGAGAGAATTATGGTTTATCACATCACTGTGAGAACATGCATTTATTACTCCAATTATAACAAAAAGGCACAATTTTTTCTAGTTATGGGCTGAGCATCCAGGAGAGATTCCAGAAATATTGCAAGTCTTTTTTGAAAATGTAGAACGACTTCCAGGATCTACTGCCTTTGAGTGCTGCTGCAGGCACTTTTGCAGGATTGTGTGCATGTGCCATTCCTATTAGATGGCTAAACAGAGAATTTGGATTTCTAGTGGTCTTGATCTAGCAAGAGCCAGAAAAGCGGTTTTTCTACACCAAACTCACCTGTTCTTCAGCTGGTATAAATTAGCATAGCACAACTGACTTCAATGGAGCTATGTTGATTTATACCAGCTGAGAATCTGGCCCATTTAAAAAAAAAAAAGTTTGGCCAGCATGAGAAACAAATTGTGTAATTGAGGGGAAGTGAGCTGAACAACATAAAAACTGAGATTCAGATAACAAAGATCAACATGAATTTGTCTTCTGGAGCTGTGGATAACGATAAAACTGTCAAACTGAAAGAATATCTAGTGAACAGAACTATCTGAGAAAAATGATTTAAAAGCATTTGATTTATGGAGGCATTTCTTTACTGTTACCTTTGTTTACTGTTACCTTTACTCAGCATAGCAAGTGTATTGAAGCGAAGGCACAATTATGCCACATATCTGCATATTCTTTAGATGGCGTTTTGTAGCATTTATACTCCATCATACTAAACAAATCTTTGCGTGGTCTCTACCATTTCTAACTCATAAATAGGTGCTGGTCATATTCAGCAGACTAGGTCATATATGACATTGGACAAGACTTCGTCCTGTGGAGGATGTTCTTGCTTCTTTTTCTCCTGCTGCTGCCCAAGCAAATGCTGTTGCCTTGACAACACAGGGCAATCTCAGGCTCCTCACGTGTCAATAGGAAGAAAGCCAAGTCTTTTCCACAAGAAACAGAACTGCTGAGAAACAAACAACTAATTACTGTCCAAGGACCTTGGATCATTTAATGGGGAACCTGCCAAAACAAGCATCGAGAATTCTATTAAAGTCATGTGATTTCAAAAAAGAGAAAAGGGCATCACCAATCAGTCAGATGTTGTGAAGGCCAAGACTATAACTGGATTCAAAAAAGAACTAGATAAATTCCTGGAGGATAGGTCCATCAGTGGCTATTAATGGATATTAGCCAAGATGGGCAGGGATGGTGTCCTTAGCCTCTGTTTGCCAGAAGCTGGAAATGGGCGACGGGGGATGGATCACTTGATTACCTCTTCTGTTCATTCCCTCTGGGGCACCTGGCGTTGGCCACTGCTGGAAGACAGGATATGGGCTATATGGGCCATTGGTCTGATCTGTAATGGTTGTTCTTATGTCCTTAACTAGGAGACACAAACATAGAAGATCTGAGAGGTTGCAGTCACTTGAGGACTCAGTTACACTTGGGATGGCTATGTCCTTACATTATGGGCACAATTCGCCTCTTACATCAATTTCACACCCGCATAACTCCATTGGCCTTCAACTGAGGTACTCCTGTTTTACACCAGGGTATGGCCACACAAGTAACTCTTAACCCTGCCATTTTCTTACAAGGTTTGTTGTCTCTGCAGTAAGACACCTAAACCCAATAAGCTGGTAAAAGGCAGGAAAACCTTGAAACTATTGTGCAATTGCTCCAGGAATTTGGTGACAATCCCATTTCCCACAAGACAAGTCACCAGTGTACCATGTCCAGCTGATAACTGGGGAGGGCAACACCATCTCATTTCAAGCTAAGATTCAGGAGGACTGAAAGCAGAAAGAGTCTTTAAAACTGACTCTCCCAGTTACTCAGTGTATAAATAGAGGAGATATGATACTGAATGGGAAAAGGTATCATTTTGTAATTAAATGCTTTGCCATTTATCCTGAGAGACAGGGTAAGAATGACCTTCTTTATATTGTATCTTGCATCTCATTTTTATTCTTCTCTAAATATCATGGACTACAACTCTTCTGCCAATGAAGACTGAATTAAAAAGGAGAGAGAGGGAAACACTTCACTAGAGAGAATGGTGAACAGAGACATTGATCATACTATCAGGGACAGATTTAGGGGCAGGGGACCCAGGTGAGTGCCTGGTGTGCTGGGCTTGGGCAGCACCGGGCTTACGGTGCTGTTTTTGTTGTTAGCAACAAAAGGGAAAATAGAATGTTTGAAGTAAAATGTTTCAGGTATTCTGTATGTAGTTTCATTTTTCACAACTTCCTAGAATGTTCTGGAGCAATGTAGAATCTCGTGGAACCTTCCAGACTTTCTGAGAACTACATTTTCCTTGAACCTCCTAGAATGTAGTCAGCCATGCCCTCGCGGGTGTATAAGAGGCAGGGCATTGCCAGTCAATCAATGAGAACTGTTTATGAACATTTTGAATGAGAATAAAATAAAGCTTCAGGACTGCTGCGGCCAAGGCTATGACAATGGTGAGAACATGGAGGGAAGAAACAGTGGTGTCCAAGCAAGGATCCTTGCACTGAACCCAAGAGCTTTCTTCTGGCCTTGTGGCTGCCATTCCCACAATCTGGTTGTGTCAGATGCAGCATCATCTTCTTTAGATTCATTATCTCTCTTCAATGCAAAGGATATACATACTGTTTTTAGCCTCAACTATCAGGTGGAAGATCCTCATGGATGATATTAAAAATCTGACTGTGAAGCCGCTAAGTGACACCTGCTGGGAGAGCCTCATTGACAGCATAAGACCAGTGAGGTACCAAGCGACTGAAGTTTCCGACGCCCTGATGGAACTGGCACAGTCGAGTAAAGCCAAGGCCAGAATCCGACATAAGGTGCAAAGCCTGGCAAACCAGATCACTGACTTCAAATTTCTGGCCTCAATTGTGGTTTTGCATGATAGCCTGTTCCAAGTAAACATTGTAAGCAAGGCATTACAAACTCAGTCAATGAACATCGCGACCACTGCTACTTTGATGAGAAGCTGCCTTGATTTCATTGTGGCCTACAGAGACAACCAGTTTGAAGATGCCATCACTACTGCCAAAGAAATGGTGGAAAACTTAAGAGTTGAGCCTGTCTTCAAGGAAACTCGTATTCATCGGAAGAAGACACAGTTTGGTTATGAGGGCAGAAATGAGGTGATGGTAAGCTCGGAAGAAAAATTCAAGAGGGAGGTTTTTTGCTCGCTCATTAACGCTGCTCGAGTGCCCATTGAAGAAAGGTTTGGACAAATGAGGCACCACAAAAAGACCTGGGGTGAGTTGTATGACCTTAATAAGCTACTGGCGGACAGAAAAACACTTTTGAATAATTGTATGAACCTTCACCGGACGTGACATAGGCGGAATGTGTGGACATCAATGATAAAGACCTCTGTGTCGAATTGGACAACATACGAGACGTTTTGCATCACAGGAAGCTCCAAGTTCTCCAATTCATTCATAATGCAGAGCTGAAGGACACCTTTCCTAATGTGTGGATAGCTTTGAGGCTTGTGCTCACGCTGCCGGTCACAGTCATGAGCGGTGAACGCAGCTTTTCTAAGCTCAGGCTCACTAAAACATATCTTTGATCGACGATGACCAACAAGAGACTGACGTCGCTTGCTATTTTATCACTTGAAAATCTGTCTGGCACTGTGCTTCATTTGGCGAGGGCAAAGGCAAGAAAAGCGACTTTTTGACCTACAGGACTAGGGTTAATATTCTAAGGCTGTCACCTATTGTAACAATATTTACTACTGCCCAATGTTGGTGCACAGTTCAATTTCTTGATGTTAGTACATTTCAGTTATTCTTAAAATTAAAAAGTTTCTATAAGCTTAGAGGAAATGAATTTTTTTATTTGCTTATATATGGTATGAATAAATACAGATTTACAGATCCCAGCGTGAAAATTTATCATCTTATATGACAGGGATAAATCATGCATGCAAATCATGCATCAAAGTTGTGAAACGGGCTGCAAATTCAATAAAAATAAGATATTCAGAAGTTTAACAAATGCGGGGGGAGAGGGGGAATGCTGAAGACGCTCCTTGTCTGGGGCACCATTTGGTTTAGAGCCAGCCTTGCATACTATACAGAGGAAGCCATGAACACATTATAAATTTACTGCGTTATAGCTGCAGAGTTTTTGCTGCATCCTATTCTTGGTTTGGGAGGTTCTTGGCCATGGAGTGGTCAGCTGTGTGGTTTTTCTAGCCCACAAATCTCACCAGATACAGTAAAAACCTATATTTGTTGAAAGCCAGTGTTTCTCTACAGAGATCCCAGAAACTCTGTGGTAATCTTCAGACTCCTCATGGCACCATGACTCTTTCAGCCTCCCTGCCCTGGGCTGGCCCATCCTGCACCTCCTTCAAAGGTGATTTAAAAGCCTGCAGAAGGAGTTTCTGTAAATTAATTAATATTGGTTAGAGGCCTGATTTTCAGAGTCGATGGGAGCTGTGGGTGCTTAGTACCTCTGAAAAAACTAGCCCTATTTGCAAGGTGCCAAGAGTGAACTTGATCCCTTGCAGAAGTAAGAAGGAATGACACACGCCCTGAAGAGTTTACAATCTAAATAGACAATAATACAGGCAAAGAAGGAGTATTTTGTGCAAATAAAGCAGTATAAGTCAGATCAATGATCATACATATCATTTGTTTGATTCGGGGTTTAATTTCATTTTGTTTAGGAAAAGGATAGGCATAATCTAACATAAGTGTAACACACTGGCTTAGAACATATGATCAGGGCTCCTTTTGTGGGATGCTACTATGGGCCAGCCTGATATTTGCTAACAATCAATTGCTCCTTTAGCACAAGTGATATGGGTATGAGCTTTGGGTGATGAAAGTGCCTACTGACAACCATAGTGTCTGCATGTGTGCAGCCACTGTTTGTTACATAAACATTAATTAACTAGGGAAAATCCCTATGGCTTTTACTGTAGAAAATGTCTTGGTGGTTCTCCCTCAGCCCTGCCACACCCCCACCCTCAGCATCCAGCCGTACATCCAACTTCAGTTCACAGAGATATGTAGGAAGATAGTTGAGGGTAAGGGACTTGATAATACACTGCCTCTCTTTGTCAGATTTTAGCCTAAAGGAATGAATTTTGCACCCCTTTCATCACTATTCCCTGGAAATATAGGAGGGGATATGACCCTTTATTTGGACTAAGGTTGTAGACTATGATACAGCATTACCATGGTTATAGAAAGCACTAGCCTCCCAGCTCAATCACGTCCAAATGAGTAAAACCATTTGAATTGGTGTTGATGGTACTACAAGATTTGCCACACTAGATCAGGTTATTTGTCCATTCAGTCTGGCATCCTGCCTCTGACAGGAGACAATCCTTGATGTTGCACAGGAAGGCAACCCCCACTTGGTTGATTGTGCCATGCTATATAAGGGGGTATAATGCATTCATGACTTAAATGCATGTATGATTGTCATCGTCTCCTAGTGTGGTCTCTCAAGGGGTCTCAGCTTCTCCTGACTGACTCTCCTTAGTTTATTCTCAGTTAGGTCGGTTCACTCCAATTAAATCTGTCAGCCCTTCACTCAGCCCTGTCAGCATTTCACTCTCCTGGCTGTTTTCTTGGAGGCAGCATGGGGCACAGCTGTCACCCCTTTTCTGTCCCAGGACTTTCTGCCTCCCTTTTCTTCTCTTTACTCTCCCCGGCCTTGTTTCCTCTATTGGTTGAAGCTGTGGCTGCCTGCCTCCATGATTGGCAGCTCTGGCAACTGCATGGGGTTGTGATCAAGCTGCTTGCTTGTAAACAGAAGAGACTCTCCTCCCTCCTCTATCTATGCTCAGTATGGGGTTTGTAGAACCCATTACAATGATCTGTATTCTATATGGGATGGACATACTATGTTATCGAATAACTGGGTACCAGCTACTTCATAAACACAACAGCAATTACTTTCACATATAGGGCACAATTTGTTTCCCAAAGTAAATAGCAAGTAATAATTCTTGTCTCCAAGTTTGCACATAAGGGGAGGAAGGCAAACTTGTGCTGAGAAGCAGGTGATTGGCAGTAGCTAAATAATACTGTCTGGAAACTTACCCTGGTATTACGTGGAGTGTTGCAGCTCAGAGGACAAAACCCACCCACCTCTCTGCAGCGTCGCCTTCAATTCCTTTAATGTTAACAGCAAGAGAGCCAAGAAGGGCAAACTATATCTTCCTGGGCTACATGCAAGGGATGCACATTCGCTATGTTAGCCTGGCAGAGTTCAGAATCCAGCTTCGTAATAGCACAGGCTTTATTCTCCACACAAAATTACAGTATGCACTGTTCAACTGTGACAAGCTATCATACAGCATGCTTCCTTACTGCCTTACCCTATATTTCCCCTTCATTAACTTTCAGTATATCCATTTGCAATAATTCAGTATTAAAGTTGTATATCTGGTAGGTGTAGGTTTGTTGTTCAAAGTGACTAAAATATCTAGGTCTTCCCCCTCTGGTAGCTGATTTGTGCATTTTACAAAAGCAGTCTTCGCCCTCTTAAACCATTCATTTTCTTTTGTAGGATGTTTTTGTGGTTGAGGAACTGCACTGGGACTCAGGAGACTGGGGGTGAATTCCCTGCTCTGCCACAGACTTCCACTGTGATCTTGGGCAAATCATTTAAGTTTTCTGTTCCCAATCTATAATATGAGGGTAATAATACTCCCTTTTCCCTTACCCATTGTATGTCTTGTCTATTTACATAGTAAGCTCATTGGAGCAGGGACTGTCTTGCTATTTATATGTACCCACAATGGGGCTTAGGACTTCTAGATATTATTGTAATACAAATAAATAGGAATAGTGTGCGGCTTCTTTAGCTATTTTGAAATGCAGGAAACTGTTCAGCCAAGCAGAAAGGCTGCCGTAGCTGCACTCATTTAGGTAAAGAGCAGAACGTATATAGCTAATTCCCAAAAGATCTTTGTAACACAGGTCCCAGAAGAACTCACCAGAGCAGCCCGGGTACAGAAATGAATTTCTGTCAGACACATCCCAAATCAGGAGAAGTATCTCATTCTGTTGAAAAAACAGAACAAGTAATTGGTACGTTTATAATCACAACCTGAAATACTGGAACTAAAAAGAGCACAAGAAGCAACATAGTCGAGTGGTTAAAGCATTTGACCGAGAATCAGGAAACCTGGTTCTACTTCTGCATCCAACAATTGCCGTGTAGCCTATGGTGAGTCATTAGATTCACTTTCAAGGTGGCCTTATCAGGTATTCTATCTACAAAAATATAGTACAGCTTAATCAATTAATGATTATGAACTGCTTTGAGATTCTTTATTGGAAGATGCCACATTAGTGCTAATAGAAGAACAGGAGTACTTGTGGCACCTTAGAGACTAACAAATTTATTAGAGCATAAGCTTTCGTGGACTACAGCC